AGCTGGAGTTGTTCTGCCTGAAAAAGTACCTTGCCAAAAATTCCAGCTCTATTCACAGCTGATAGGCACTCAGTTGAAAAGCCAGACTGACAAAGGGAATTTTTTCCAGAGATCTCACTGCACTTCAGAGTCTGAGCAGAAACCTGAGCTCAAGAAAGTACTTTACAATGGATTTAATTTTCACGGTTTATTTTGCACAATTCTGGGCACATGCCAACACACAGTCCAGCATTTTTTTAAATAATTCCTTGAAAAGCAACTTTTTTTTTTTTAACTAGAAAATGGAGAGTGATTTTTGCATCCATATTACCCTAATAGTCACCAGGTCTATCATGAACATGCATTCATAGTTTCAATATTTTTAAGAGCATTATTGACTGACTTGAACACATGCTATTGGCTATGGAAGTGACCTCAATGCAACAATTCAATTTCTACAAGCTTTTCTGTGAAACAAAAGCTCCAAGTAAAGTTCCTCTGAAAATTCTGATTTAATACTATGGTTTTTGTCAAATCCTGTAAAAGAGCTCACCTGACAAAATGTGAGGCTTGTCCAGTTCCTGCTAACAAGAAAACTGAGGAGAACATTGAAGACACTGATGAAAGCAGCCAGATTTCCACTGGACTCTCCCAAAAGCTGCTCAGAGAGCTCTTCTAATCTTGTGGTATTTTAGGCAAGAAGCCTAATTCTTTATCCCTGCTTTGTTTATTTTCCCTGCTGGGAGCTTCACCCTGAGTTTCCACCTCTGAAGAGCAGAGCTCCAGCTCCTCAGTTAAGGCACTGAATCCAAAAAGGGGATGTGCTAACAGGGGAATAGGCTCTTGCAAAGCAAAGGCTTCAGCATGTTTGGCCAATGCTTGAATTCGTGGCTGATTTTTCGAAGGAGAGAAAATAGATTTTCAGTGTTACAGAAACAATTTCAGTAACGCAAACCTAAAGGGAAAATGTTGTTCCTTGGAGAGTTAAGTGCTTTTGAGATTCCCACTGCGATGTGCTTAGCTCAAAACCCCAGGCTGAATTCAGGTAAACAGAAGAGAAGGCTGCTTTCAACTAATTCCAAAAGCTTCAGCTACAAGACAGCAGCATGGGAAGGTGGTGCAAGCAGTGAATATTTCAGTGTGCGTGTGTTTGTGGGTGAAAATGCCAGGCACAGAGGCTGTGTCCTGGCAGAGCTGAAGCACGTGTGGTCCCTGGTGCAGGGTTTGTTTATGCGAGCGCTGTGCCAGCAGCCACCGCCTGTGTGCGCCTGAACGGTGACACCGTGTCACTCAGAGGCCTCCTACATGAGCTGCTCTGCATGCATTCGATCAGAACTGGAAGGAAAAAGGAGAAGCAGCACTCAGGATTCACATGTCTGCAGTATTTCTGGCAGTGTTTAAGACACCATGGCTTTTTCAACTGGCTCCTTAGCAGTGATGTGACAATGAAAGGCTGTGAAGAAGGGAATTGGAGGAGCTTTATTCCCACAAGTTCATTGGCCATATTCTCCTCTGTCTAGCACTGATGTGAATGAAGGAGATTGCCAGAATTGGCAGACCCAAGATATGAAACAGGCACAGAGGCAGGGGACTGATTTTACTTCAGAGTGTCTTCTTTTCACTCCACCCTTTTGTCTTCCTCTGCTGATTGCACCGGACCAGCAAAGGAGGGTTCAAGTGAAATTATCCCTGAAGTCAGACCATTACAAGGGAATAGCACCTGCAGTGTCAGCTCCCTGACAGGGCTGCCCTGAGCTCCCACACCCGCTGGTGTGCCTGGTGTGACACTGCATTCACATCACCCTGCTGCAGTCACTCTGGCCATGGCCAAAGCCACTTGCTCTTTCGGACATGTGGACACCTCTGGGGAGGTTTTATGTCCTCTGCTGATGGTTGGAAACAACGCCAGTGGTGCCAGAATGCCAAACTGTGTTTGAAACTGTTCCTGCTGGAACGATGAGGTACCAGATTCTGCCACTCACAGCAGGTCACAGCCTCTGTCCCTGGATGTATTCTCTGCCAGGGACCACTCAGTGGTCCCTCACAATTCCTGGGGGATGAGGCACCCTCCAGTCCTGCCAGTCATGGCTGAACATGGCATGTGATGCTGCTAGCCAGGCCTTACAGGATCTCACACCCCCACAGACTCCCTGAAATTACTGCTAGGATGGACTTTGGATAGTGCAAATAGGTTGGATATTAGGAAAAAGTTTTTAATGGAAAGAATAATAAAGTACTGGAATGCTTTGCCTGGGGAGGTGGTGGAGTCACCATCCCTGGATGTGTTTAAAAAAAGACTGGATGTGGCACTCAGTGCCATGGCTTAGTTGAGGTGTCAGGGCATGGGTTGGACTCCATGATCTTGGAGGTCTCTTCCAACCTGGTTATCCTGTGATACTGTGACACTTTGCTGAGCTTCACACAGCAGGTTTGCTTGGTTCACATACCCTCCTACAAAGGTTTCTAGATAAACAGTAAAAACCCAGTAGCTCTTTCCAAAATATTTTGACGTTGGGATATTTTCAGTAATGCCAAGCAACATGTACTTCTGTAATTCCAGTGGATTAGCCAAGATTTCCATTGGATAGGAGACACCTGAGACTTAAACAGTATTTACTGTTTAAGTCTCAGGTGTCTCCTATCCAATGGAAACATGCATGCTGGATCCAGAAAAGCATGAGTGCAGAAAAAAAACTTTGCAATGCACTAAGCATCATTTGCAGCAGTGAAGAAAAGCAAGGCTGGTGAAAAGAGACACGTGAGCCAAAACTGAGAAGCATCTATGTTATTTATTGACATTCTACACCAATTTCCAGGGTTAAAATTCAATGTTCATTTCTCCAAGTCCTATGTGTGTGCATAGCATGTGCATGCACCCACATACAGGTATTTAATTACAGGCTATTTTATTTCTGTACCTGAGTTATTTGTTACCCAAAGCCTAAATGCTTTTTAAGCATTTGTTGGCTTTTTGTATAATGGGGTTTATATTTTCACCTATGTAAGCTGTGAAGACAGAAATTGTTTGGATTAGCTAATTTAATCAAATTTCACAGGACGCATGAATTATACTGAGATGGGATTGAGTTTCTCAGTAGAGATATAAGTTTATTAAATTAAATACAGTCCAGTTGGGCACTGCTTCACCCCAAGTAAGGAAAACTAGAATAAAATTTGGGTGGCTACCTTAATGAAGCTGCCTTGGTACGTAGTTCTCAATCATCATTGAAATAATGCTGTTTATCTTATTTATCAAGCACAAATTGTTCCTTCCCAATGTTTCAAAACAACTCAAAAGGAATAAAAAAATCTTTTGAAGAAAACTGGACTTTGCTACATAAATTCTTTCATCTAGCTGTGTGTGGGTGCTAATATTTGCCTTCTTTGCTTTCAGGGTGTGATTTTAAAAGTACTCAAAATGGATCTTGTTCCAGTTCTTTTGGAGTCACCAGTAAAACTTCTGTTGCCTCAAAAAGATAGTATTGATGTTGGTTGCTTTTTTAAAAGAGCAGAAGCATTTGTCTTGAAGAACTGGGAAAGGTTAAAAGAAAACCCAGTACAAAACAGAGTAAGAACCAAGTGTTTTTCTTGGAGCAATGACTCATAAAAGGGTACAGGCATTCCCTCACCTTCAAAGGCTTCATCAGTTGTGCCTAGAACTGATCATCAGCAGTGATGAGGGTTTTTAAGATGCAAATAGGAGAGCTGGCTGCATTACAACTATGTCAGGTTTCCAGCCAGAAGGCAGAAGTGATGAGGCTCAGCCCTGGAGCTGGGATGTCCAGGAGCAGTGCAGCTTGGCAGGCTCCTGGAGGAACTCTTATCTCAAGTACCTGTGCTCTGGTATTAAGGGGATCAGATGAGATATAGAAAAGCAAGTCAGCCTTCTATAAAATCTATAACACCACAAAGCACCTGGTTAAAAGCAAGTTGCTGCTTAGAAATTATGGCGACTCATTAAAAGGTCCTTATCCAGAATCTCAACTTTTTTTTTTTTTTCTCTGAGTTCCCAACATACAACAGAAGAAATGAAATGTTTCTTGGCTGTAGTGAAAACTAGAGAGGCAATCAGCCTTTTATACAGGTTCGAGGGACATCTTCAGGTATGGAAAGCAATCCAGAATGTCCCCATATTTGGAATGCTCAGAACAATATGTCTGCTGTGGTGCCACCTTTGACACCTGATACAAACTTCTTCCCAGCCTGTCTCTGAATTTCAATGTTGGTACATCCTGAGGGTACTGTTTAACAGCACAGCATTCATTCTGCATGCACTTAACTCCACTATGGAATATTTTGCTTAAACACTCTGTATCCCTGTCACCACCATTCACTACAATTCATTATTGCTGCAAGAATAAGAATGATTCACTGAAGGCAAATAATTCTTGGGAAGGGAAAGAGAGAAACTCTTAAGAACACAGATATTTCTAGTTTGGAATGAAAAGCATTAAAATAAAGAAAACGTAGTAAAAACCAGAGAATAATTGGTTATATTGTGAAGAACACCTCATCCTCTGCAAATTCTCTCTCTCTCTCTCCAACAATATACACACAAGACAACAGGATAATTATTTATTTCAGGTTCACTTCTCATCTAAAGTCAGAATATCTGTGAGATTTTCCCATAATTACTCCAGCAGCTAATTATAATGCCATTGACAGACCATTGTGACTCAAGGACCAGCCTGAGCAGCAGGAACAAATGCAAAGCAAACAAGAACGTCTGTGCTTCCACAGCACCACAGTGGCTTTAGCAACAAAGAAGAAAAAGAAAATGAAGAAGAGAGAAAATTCAGAAAACCTGTGATATTCACAAATACCCTCTACAGACACTGTTTTTGAGAACAGACTAAATGGTGCCCCAAGCAGTAGACAAACTTAAAAAAATGCATGGAGCAATGAAAGGAAAATTTACCAATATAATTCCCCATAACAGAGGATCAGGGAAAACTTATGGCCATAGTTATCCTGTTTCGTGCTGAGGGGATGACAAGGCTGAGAATAAAAGCAGTACTTACATCCTGAGCTGCCATTTGTTGGAACCAGGGTGAAGTTGGAGGCCCAGGGATTTCGCACGATGTCTTGCCAATGAATGGTGTCTGCAAAGCACAGGAACTTGTTCTGGCCAACATAAACCCCTCCATTCAGTATCTCTGTGCAGAAGAACAAGAGAACAATGTACTCGTAAGACTTCAGACAGCTGATTAAATCTACTGCTAAATGTGTGTTGGAGAGAGGGCACACAATTTAAATGCAAAAAAAAAAAAACAACTCACTGTAATCTCATTTAATAATCTGAAAATGGGAGGACAAGCAGCTCACAGTATTTGTAAACAGGAACCCTTTATTCACATGCAGAAGAAACCTGGTGAAGACTGATACACAGTTTACCTTTTGTTCCAGTGTGATCATGTATGGAACAGTTCTGTATTTTGTGAGTAAAATAACCTTCAACACTTAAATGACTTTAAAAACACAAGCAACCAATCACACTATACTGCATTTCATTAATTTGCAGAAATGCTTAAAATGTATAACAAAGAACCGTGCTGTGATGAGCCCACAGGACACAAGAAGGGTCAGCATGAGGTCTGGAGAAGATTTTTTTTTGTAGTTTTACTACAGCCTGTGCTGCTGTAATAGCATCATCCAAAACACCCAAATGCTCCATAGCAATGATCCAAATCTCAAACACTATCATCCAAAACTCCTATGGAGGTGCCTTGCTGGAAGCTTTGTGTTAAAGGGAGATGGTTTTTTAAACTGGCAAAAGTTTTGGGGTTCTTAGGTCGTGGGGCTTTTGTGTACTTTGTTGGATTTTTTGGGTTTTCTTTTTATTTTCATATTTATAGCAGTTCATTTAAAAAAAAAATCCTCTCTGTTGCCCTGTCTCTAAAGACTTGATCCATCAAATCTCAAAATGAAAATGATCTTACAGTTATTTGTTGCAGCACCAGGGTTTCCTCTGTAGCAAATTTTTTTTTTTTTACCCCCTCTAAAGCCTTGTTCAAATTCACAATTCCTCTACTTAACCTGTCTCTTATATTTCCAAAGCAGGAGACAACGCATGTGACTTTCATGAAAGATAACAGGAGCTATGAGTCTGAAACCTTCAGTGTCAGAGCTTCAAGGCTCAGCAGAGAAATGCTGAAGGTTAGGTACTAATGGCACCTTGGAGTGACATGAAGTGGTGCTGTAGAGCCAGGAGTGCCACACTTCTCACAGAGAATGAAGAATAATTCCTGACTATGGCAGTAGCAGTCATTAAGGTAGCCTGATAATCCTCATCTGCCAGGAAAACCTTTAAAAGCTGTAGTGGGAGTGTAAATGTTTACACACACCACGGAAGGAATTACTGTGTTTTATTTCTTTTTTTAAATTTCAGGGTTTACAGGCCACACCATGTAAATGAGGCAGCCCCCAAACAAGGAATGTATTAAATAAAGGATCATCTGTAAATACATCTTTCCCCCATATTAATCAGTATTACTATTTCTTAGAAACCTTTGGTTTAAAAGCTTGGCTTTTCATTGAAAAGGGGCTTATAAATGAAAACAATGATAATAATCTGATACAGAGAAAGAGTCCAGATTAGAGATAGAGCAATGATCTGTCTGTATAATATTCTTATGATCAAAGGAAAAAAACGATACAGCATCTGTTAACAATTTTGCTCTGGGGAGAAAGGGAGACTTAGAAGAACACCTTAAATCATGATTTGTGATGATTTCTCTGTGTTGTCCCAGCTACACCAGAATACTTAATCCATTATGGCCCATATTTTGATTAAAAATAACATAAAAAAACAATGAAAAACTGTAAAATCTGCATTTATAGCTTCTTACACACACATAATTCTACATAGCTCCTCTATCAGCTGGCACACTGAACTGGCATAATTTCTGGGTTTCAAGAGCATCCCCTCCTGACAATACCTACCCAAGTTTCTTTCCTGCTAGGAATTTTAACACATTCTTGTAAAGCAGGATCTCAATCTAAAAGTAATTCTAATAGTTTCAATTTTTGGAGAAAGACTTTTTTTTTCAGCATAGAGGTAACCAGGAAGTGCACCATATGCTGTACTTCAGGGAAGCCAACACCTTCCACTGTGATTTACTAAAAGCAACCACAAAAAAAATGCTCTGACTTGCCTCATCACTGAATAGCAAGTGATGCTTCTGGTGCTTTTTCCCAAAAATGCATTTTCCTTGCGCTGCATCATTTTTCACCAGTGACAGAATTAAAATTTCCAGGTTATTGATGCGCTGAGGTGCAAACAAACCTGAGTAATATCAGAGGTGGGCTCTCGTGGATATTAAGTTACACTGAGCTCAAAGTTTAGTACAATCTTTAAAGCGCTTGTATTTGACTCTTCCTGCTCTCCGGGACCCAGACTCGTTTCCACTCCATCTTCCCCATCCAACCTGCTTTTCTTTACAGCAAGTCCTCAGTGTGTGTAAATCAGCACAGATGCATCAGCTTCACTGACTTCGACTCAAAATGCATTTTGCACTTCTTTGCCCTCTCTTAGCAAGAACAATGCCTGGGAAGAGCTAATAAACCCTGTTGCATGTTAAGCAAATGAAGCACAACTGTAATCAATATACAATGGAGCTGCTGTATAATGAACTCATCATCATAAAGTCATCATCCCATTTTAATTTACAGCTCTGAAAGTGAGAGATAAAGTTAAACAATGAACGGGAGGAGAAAGGCAGCATCTCTGTCTGTGCAGGCAAGCTAGCAATGGAAGCCAGGCAAAAAGAGGTTTCTTCCCCTGTGTGCAACACCTGAGGTGCCTCTTTGCTCAACTCTTTCCAAGGCTGGAGAAGAAGAGAGAATGGCAATTCCCTGAGTGAATTTTGTGAACAAAGAAGCCAGTTCCTGACATGGAAGCCCAAAACCAGACTGCTTGGAGTGAAATATATTTTAAATACCATTTGGGAGTGAGTATTTTTGTCTTCCAAAACAATTTTTTTGTGATATTGGAAAACTGTTAGTCCAAGTATGGCCCTGCTTGGGCTTCCACCCTGCTCAGGGACATCAAGGAACAAAAGGGGATTTCTAATCACAATACCCACTGGCTTTCACTGGGAGAAGAGTTCCTAGAGGTGCCAGACAACTCTGGACACCTTTCTGGAAGGTGTAACACTTCAGCATACCACGATCTCCTGGTTTGGCACCAGGGCTGCAGCCCCGTGCCCTGAGCAAAGGAGTAGCACCCAAGGGCTTTTGTCACTTGATCCTGAAGTGACTGACAAATCTTATCATCTTCCTCATTAGAGCTACTCTACTGGCTTAAAAGCAGTATAATTCTGCAACCAAAGTTACACGAAAATAAATCAGCATGTGTCCTTGCCACTGAATTCTGCCATTATTTTGCTTATTACTCTCAAATGATTGTGGGAAACTTTTATCTGCAGATCATTAAAGTTCTCTTAAATGGTTATTTATTCAGGAAGCTAAATCAGAAATGCATTATCTGTTGTTATAGCTGCTATTTTCTTGCTTTCAAAAACCTAGTGAAACATTCCCACAGACTTTGGAAACCTACCATACAATACAAACAGGAGAAATGCAAACGTACAAGTATTTGGCAACCAAGAAACACGAGCATCTCACACTTAAGTGCCAGGAACACAGACAGGTACATCACACACAGTTCATACTTAGTCTGTCAAGTTCAAGAAAGGACTCAGAGTTTGACTGGAGTCACTGAAAACACATTATCAGCCACCAGAAGCATATAGTCACTGCAAAGGGACACTGACTCTGCAAGTGTGGTGTCTGCTTAGACCAAGGAGGGAAACCACTTTTCTTCTTCCATCTGTTAAAAGGGCATCTTATTGAGCTGACTTTTTTTGTGTGTGTGTGTGTGTACAGTGTAATTCCTCATGGTCTGCTATCCAATTTCTAATGTGGGTTAAATGGGCAAAGCATGTTCTCATTCTGTAATGTATCCTGGAGTGAATGTTACTCATGTGTTTATATGCAGCAAGGGTTGTAAATATCTATTGAGCTGTAGAATCTAAAACTTTTCTAAAATTTTTACCAAGATGGTTATAAAATGTCTATTGCTATTCCAGGTTGAAAATTAAAAGCTCTTCTTTGGTACTACAAAACCAGCCAGCACCATGAACTGGAAGATGGCATGGTGAGAGGGGAAAAGAACTAGCTCTGAAGTGGGCAGGGAAAGGAGAGGGAATTAATTAGGGAAAACCGTGGGGAAAGCCCACTCTATATATCTTACACCTTTCAAACTGACTGGCTATGAAGGAAGCAGCTGTCTTTTCAGCCCACCATATACAGATATATCCTGCATGGATATATTATATAACACATGTTGACAACACCTGAATTTCCAAGGTCAGCCTCGCTAGAGCTGAAGCACCTTTACAAGTTGACAGTGCTGCATCTTTACCATAAGCACCCTGCTGATGGGGATCTCTTCTCCTGTTTCACCCAACATGCTGAATGCATCATCTGAAAACAGCTTAGGCTGGAAATTTCATGCCAAACCAAATTTTTTGATCCCTCAGCATAGTTCATTGCTGATGACCCACTGGGAAAGCACTTCAGGTCCATCATTAATAAGCTCTGTCTTAAAGGGTAATGAGAACTGGGTGCTTGAGGAGACAATAGCTCATCCATCATCAATCAAGATCTGAAGTTTTTATACAGATGATTTAAGAAGAGTTGGACTGTGCAAAATTGAAATGTCACATTTGTATTGGGAGATGGGGGGCGTTTGGTAATGAAAATGAGAGTTTTAACCTTCTCCATTTCAGCTCAATGACCATACTCAAAAGCTCATGCAAGTGGAATCTGTGTCCCAGCTAGAAGCCCCAGACAGCCTTCGATCTCAATTATACAATTTCAAGTACAGTTTATTTGGGTCATTAGCTGGAAGTCAGTTTCAAGGCTTGATGGTAACAGCAAGATATTCTTTATTTCTATCAAAAGCAATCAGCGTTATGTGCAGCCTGTGGATTTGTACTTCCAACTGCTCAATAACTAAGAACACTGGGTTGTAGAACCTGATCATAAATCTTCTAATCTTAGCTACCTGTTTTGCTGCTTAAATAAAAATGGATCATTTGATTACTTTTCACTGAGTTGGATGGGGTACCCTTTGCACCCCAGAGGTGTGTGA